AAGCCCTGGAATCTACGTAATAACTCTACATTCTATCATTTAAAATCTTTCATTGCCCTGCCAATCCAGATGATTTGTACTTTGGGGGGTGTCACACCCCCACCCCCCCCCTCAAGTTTCGCCCCTGATTGTATAGGAAAGTTTCGTAGTTAAATTAACTTTTGTAGAAGTTCATGATAAAAAGGGAAGCAAATTATGTTCATAAGGGTCCTGTACGAATCAAATTTATTTCATTGCATAGTGCAAGTAATAAGTTGAAGCTCGAGTTGAAGAGTTTATAAATATCGGCAAAAAGCAGTCAGTTTCAATTCACATTTTAAAAAGTTTTACATAGAGTTTCGTTTTAAATTTTACATTAAAATAAAGCCCATAGAAAGCCAAATAATATACCTACTTTGTCGGTTTTATAAATTGATAGTTCTGTATTAAAACTGTTCAAGTTTCATCTATTTTTTGCAGGTTTGTACAAAAAGTTTAAAAACTACAATTATCGTGTTGCCATGACTATAACATGATATGACAACGCGAGCCAGCTGCGTTCAGTGTTGGCATAATTACGAATACTTCATGTTCAAACAATGTTTGGAAAATATAGGCGAGGGGTCGTTGCATGCATGTAGAGTGTTATTTCAAGGACGTTTTCTGAATGTAGGACCATCGCTCACCGTCAGTTGTTGACGTTAGAAGTATGTAGCCACGCGTCTGTTTTGCGGCTGTTAGCAATATGAGACGAAGTAGTTTCCGAGCGGTTCACGAATAAAGCAATCAAAATAAAGCCACAGTATCAGAGGGTATCCGACGTCATAGATATCCGTCCTGTGATTGGCTGGATACCCTCCAAGGTATCCAAATACCTCATTAAGTTACTATTTTTAGTAACATTTGAACCGCAGACCGTATCCGAACACCGCAGACGCACTTAAAAACATTTTTCCGATCCAAGTAAAGTCCTTGGGTTACGCCTTCGCTCTCTCGGCTCATCTTCGTCGAAATTCAACGCTTTAAAAAGGCGTCTAATATTACATTTAGAGCTGTAACTTTTAAAATTTACGAACGAATTTGCCCTTAAACTTAATAAACTCAATTTTTTGTACACATAAATGAATTGCGTGAAAATGTATTTAATAATGGTGAATTTTTCCCCAAAACTATTTTGCTATCAATAATCGGAAAAATCTGACCGTATCTTGAGCTACGCTCGATATCCCCTGATCCGCCCCTGGAGTTAAAAATAATTTTGACAAGAGAACACTTACAATGATAATCACTTCATTAGTGATTAGTAAACTGCTCTACTGTTCCACTGTAAGGTCAAATACAACATGCACTAACATAAAGAAACTGCAATCTATTCAAAACTTTGCATGTAAAATAATCACAGAATCTAAGAAATATGATCATGTAAGCCCATTACTTCAAGATCTTGAGTGGCTAACAGTCGACTAATTGCTCTATTTCCATGATGCCGTTATGACTTTCGAATGATGTATGAATAACTTAGCGCCGAAATACATGTATCTTTGTGATATGTTTGAAGAGCGATCTTCTATTTATAATCGGTCTACGCGGAACTGCAACTCGAACTTCCAAAATTTAGTGGGAAAGTTACTGAGGGGAGTTCTTTTCGGGACTTATATAACACTGCAATACATAGCAATACTAGTGTGTCTAAAGTAGACAAGTTCAATTATTTATTTTTCTTGCTTGTGAGGAATGCTGCACGTTCAATAAAGGGACTTACACTTACATCTGCCAATTATGATGCAGCAATCGAAATCTTACAAGAAATATTTGGCAAAACACAGCAAATTATAGCTGCACACATGAACCAAATCTTGCTATCCCAAACTTCGCAGTAATAATCAAAATGCGGTAAAACTAGTGCATTGTAGGCACATATTAACGTGTTGTGATCAACGTAAGATTTTAGTTTTCTGACCGCCCTAATTCCGGATGAGATCTTTTTGGAGATTTCCTTAATGTGTTTATTCCAAGATAAAAATTCATCAATATAGACCCCAAGTGCCTTTGTTTCTTTTACCCTTTTAAATGGTATGTCGCCGACATACACTTTGGGAGCGAGGGATAAGTTATTGATATTATGCCTAGATCCGATTAGTAAGTGTTCAGATTTAGAGATAATTTATTTTCAGAGAGCCATTGTTTAACATTTGCAAGGTCATGATTGATGGCCACTTCTGCATCCGAAATTGTTTCACCTGAGGCAGTTAATGTTGTATCGTCAGCAAACATTCTTGCCGACGAATACTCCAAACTGTCTGGTAAATCGTTTATATAGATTAAGAATAGAAGTGGGCCAAGAATGGAACCTTGAGTAATTCCACACCTAACTATCTTTTTACCGGATAATACACCGTTATCTGAGCACATTTGTGTTCTGTTAGTCAAATAACTTTTTAGAGGTGGCTCAACACAGTTATTCAAAGAATGGAAAATTCACGATTTAGATGCGTATTTTTGGACAATTATTACTTGTTGATAAACAAAAAGTACCTTACTTATATAAAACAACATCTTAAGAGTTTGAATTTTTGTACAAAAGTTTTGCAACTGCCGTTGCTATGGCAACAATGACATTTCAAGATGGCGGATATTTTGGCTTTAATTTAAAGTAATTTAACTCGTAAACGATATCGGTGACCCCCAAATTTTATTTAAAGTGTTGATTTCTCTTAATACAGAAATTACAAAATAGGGCTGCTAGCATAATCATGGGTCGTAAAAACGAACATGGACAGCCTGAACTTGCTCTAGCTGAGCTCTAATGGAAGCCTTTAAAGGAACGAAGGACTCAGTTTGTAGCAAGCCAGATGTATAAAATAACTCATGATCTAGCACCCAAACGACTATCTGACATTTTCCGAGAAACGCCTTCCTCCCAGCATTACAATTTGAGAGGTTTTTCCACTAAACTCTATTTGCCCCAACCTAAGACTGACCTCTTAGTACAATGTGGAGCCGAAATTTTTAAAATTACGTAAAGGTGATTATTCATAATAATTTTTTTTTGGCTCCACAGAATTATTTTTAAATTGTGAAAATAATTGATTATACTAAAAGAAACAATTTTTTAAAATAAAATTTGGGGGTCACCGATGTCGTTTACGAGTTAAATTACTTTAGGGGCAAAATATCCGCCATTTTGAAACGTCATTGTTGCCATAGCAACGCCAGTTGCGTAACTTTTGTGCAAAAATTCAAACTCCTTAGATGTTGTTTTATGTAACCATGGATAATAAAATCAATGGATAGGAAACTAGCTGACGTGACCTAATGTTTTCAATGGGCTGATGGCGTGATTAGATGTTGAAACCTAGTTGCAAACCAAATTCTCAAAAGCGGCATGTTTAGCAATAATACAGCTAAACATTTTAGTCAAAGAGCAAATGAATATAACTACGCCATTCTACGATGAAATCTCTAAGTATTCCCAGTCAATTTTAGCAAATATTTCAAGCACTAAACAGCGAAAAAGGCATCCCAAATTTCGTTAAAATTGGGGACGCCAATTTCGTAGCTACAAATGTAAAAAAATACAAAACAAAGACGAAAAACATTTACCTTGAATACTTTGTCGTGACTTAGGCATGTTTTTAAAACAATTAGACCGGTTTATGCTTCAATATTGCTCTTTTAACTTAAGGCGGAAAATATAGCGAAACAACAAAAATGCAGAGAACTTTGCAATACGCGTGACGTCACAGATTGCAACTAGGTTGTTTTTGCTTACGTCAGCGAGAGTCCTATCCATTTATTTTATTATCCATGATGTAAGTAAGGCACTTTTTGTTTATCGACAAGTAATAATTGTCCAAAAATACGCATATAAATCGTGAATTTTCCATTTTAAAAAAACTGTATTGAGCCAGGTAACCCCATGCCATACATATCAAATTTCTTAAGTAAAATATCGCGGTTTATATAGAGGGTCCTGAAGGGGGGGTCCCAATCCCATTTCCCACCTGAAATTTTGGCAAAATCCCAGTCCCAGTTGGATTTTTATTAGAAATCCCAGTCCCAGTTATTGAAATCCCAGTCAATAAAAACCCCTTTATTTATCGGTAGAATAAACAGTTTTAAGACCTTTTTAGCATGTGGCGGACACTTTATGAAATATTAGGGGGGGCTCGTGCCGAAGGCACGGAAAATTTTTAAATTTGAATCCCGGAAATGGCATTTGCAGCATTCTGAGACACGCATAATCAGAAAACCCAGAATTCCGGGTGCCAGAGTATGCCTGTTCGCAGGTAGTGCTGTGAATAATATAGTTAACAACAAAAATCATGACCAAAGACACCAAAAACGGATCGAAATTGTATTTTAAAATACTCAAAACGCAGAAAAATTGGGAATCGACTCGCATTACCTCAATCCCATTCCCATTTTTGAGGACTTCATTTCCCATTCCCAGTGGCCAAATCCCAGTCCCAGCAACCCAAATCCCATTTTCCCAGTCCAGAAATAGATCAATCCCAGTTCCCATTTTACCCCTTCAGGGCCCTCTATATATATAGTATCAAAAGCTTTTTGTAAGTCAAGAAATACTGCCATGTTAATTTTACCATGCACGGTCCATATTAACAAACCATTCATTTGTGCTATTTAAAAGGGCAAATGCTACGGAATTAAACAGTCTAAAGCCGAATTGACGATCAGATAGCAAATTATTCGAGGCAAAATAATCATATAATTGTTCATATATTATAGTATTTTTTTTTTCAAAAACGTTACTAATAACAGGTATTATAGAATGGAAATAGGACGATAATTATTAAATAAGTTTCGTGGACCTTTTTTGTGTAAAGGAATAACCCTTGCTATTTTCCATTCAAATGGAACCGTTTCATTAAAAATTGCCGTATTAAAAATCTTTGTTAACGGGTCAGCAATTACTGGAGCAGCAATTCGAATTATTTTGGCAGGAATGTTATCAATTCCAGTAGATTTACAGGCATTTAAGGACCGAAAAATGTATTTACTTTGGCCACAGAACTGCTTGAAATTTGAAAACACTTGTTGTAGTTTTCGTTAAATAATCCATAAAATTCGTGTCACTGTTCTCAGTGATATTGGCAATATTGGGTCCAGCACTAGCAAAGTAACTATTAAAGGATTCAGCTAATTCACTTGAGCAAGTGATTTGTCCGCTCCGTGAAGTAATACAATTAATTTCGGAGCCGCATTTTTTATTGGGATTGAGGATTTTGTTCACTGTTTTCCAAGCTTCCTTAGGATTATTTTTGACACATACAAATTGATTTTTATAATAAGTTGTTTTTGCTTCTCGTAATGATTGAGTTACGCGATTTCTGGACGTTTTATATGCACTCCAGTAATTTTCCGAGTTATTCTTTATAGCAAGGAGTTTAAGACGATCTCGCTCACGCATTTGTAGTTTAATTAACGATATTAGTGAGCCATGGTACATAATAGGCTTATTTTTTATTTTCTTATCTCTAGGACTTATTAATTTCTTATCTCTAGGAGTTATTAAATTAAGTGATTGACAAGTTTCCATGAACTACACTTCCTATTTGTAAAATGAGCAACGCAAAGCTTCGGAATTGCGGCAATGTAGAGATAAAAGTGTCATATATTTTGTATCCTTGTTGACTTTTGACTGTAAATTAATATAGTATTGATGTAAAGATGAATACTAAAAGCTTGTATGCATTCTTGAATCCTGGGCTTGTCTGACTCCTAGGCTAAGAATAATTCTTGAGAAAGACTGAACAAATTCGCAAACCGAAACCTAGGGACAAGGCATTATATCGCCTCTCTTTTATGAACGGACAATATTGAGAATTATTCTGACAATATTCAGTGCATATTGTGTGTATTAAGCTTGTTTTACAATGTTACTGACTATTCAATATTAGTATACGGTATGCGGCGTTAAAATGTACTTGTCACTTTGTTTACAATTATTATCACATACATTTTTGTTGCAAAATTTGAACTATAAACATATTATTAAATTTTGTCCAATGTCCATGGTATATCATATATGTCTATGTCTCACCAAAGTCATAATTTTCAGTAAGTTAGTTATGTTATGAGTCTATAATGGAAGAACTCAAAAAAGTAAAAGATCATGTTAACAGCAAAGAAATTAATGTAGCGAAGGGCGACCATATTTGCTCGACTTCAAATAAAGAAACTTTTAAGAGCTTAGATTATCTTAGCAAAGAATACGATGACCAGAAACGATTCACCCAAGCGGTAAAGCAACAGATCTCTCGCCTAGAAACCCGCGTAGCTGAGATAGATGTAGCCTGCATGGCAGGCGGTACTTAGGAAATACCGCCTGCCGCAAAACTGGGTGTAAATGAACTACCGCCCCTGAAGCATCAACGCTATTTATAGATGCATTAATTAAGTAAATATTCAAAATTAGCCACTCCCAAGCTGCTCCCAAGTCCCAACTGCCCAACATGAAATAAATTCCTTGATTCTCATCACCGCCCGACTGAATTTTAAAATCCTCGTGAAAACGTTTTATATTTCGTTATACAATATAAATGTACCGCCCGACAAAATAATTCAAGACAGTTAATTTTTTTCATATTTTATATAGAGTTTTTATTGCCATTTTAAACTTCCAATTTGAAACAAACAGAATTTTGAATGAAATTTCATTTAAAACTCAGTCATTCTGTCATTGTTCGTGGAGATACGAACTATTGATATATAAATTATATAAATATAAAATATAAAAAATAAATCTCCCACTGTCTTCGACATTTCAAAGTGTAGACTGTGTCTAGTGATGAGAAAATCAAGGAATTTATTTTATGTGTTAATATAAACCAAGCTAGCATGTCTATACTATAGATTCATCACCAGTCAACAACCAAACTGAAAGTTTTGAACCTTATAGAACGATAGTTTTTATTTGTTTACAACTATACATATTCAACGGGTATATATAAAGAGTTTAACTGTTATTTGATAATTACTGCATCGACCGGCCCCTTGTTTATACTTTGGAGGTTCGTATATAATATCTATCAAGTATCTTTGGTTCAGAACATGATAGGCCTATATGAAAATCCCACTGTTCGATTCAGTGAAGAAATATCTCCTAATTTCTATCGATAGTTTTAGTAAAATGTCAACATCATTGCGATTTATGGCCTTTGAAAGTCAAGCGAGATCGTATATTATCAAATTAATACGCATGTAATTGTCTGAACGAAAATATAGACTAGCCCATACCTTTCGCCGATCATAACTTCGGCCCCTTCGGACGTATCTTCTTTGTTAAATATTCTTGTTCGAATTTCTATCAAAAACACTATTTAGAGTGTTATTTTTCAGCTTGTATCTTTTAATTTGCTTCTTTTATTATGTTATTCCATTTCTGGTCTGACTTGACGTGAACTATAAATTTCAAAACGTCGAAACATTTGGTTAATGATTAACATTTAACCGAATTTAGCCGTTGATTGACAACTACATAAAAATACTAACCAATCCGTTTTTCCCGTTCACCAGCGGACGGGTAATTCAAAAACCCCTATTTTTGCGGCAGACGGTATTTCCTTTGCCTCCCTAATTTTCGCTGCCTGTAGAAATACCGCCTGCCGCGCAGGCTAAGATAGCTGTAAAGCTTGATAGTCTTTCCAACTCTATCGGCGAAGTTCAGAAATCCCTGAAATTAAAGGGAATGAATCCGCTGCTGAGACTAGTGTACTTTGTGAAAGAAATTTCAAAGCTATAGACCTTATTCATAAATCGTGA